TTTTATCGGCACGTCTGGCGGCACCACGGGCTCCCCCGGAAGTATGTCTCCGACCGAGGCGCGCAGTTTGTAGCGGACTTCACCACCGAGCTCTGGAGGCTGACCGGAGTTACTCCGGCGACCTCCACGGCGCACCACCCGCAGACCGACGGCCAGACGGAGCGCGTCAACCAAGAGCTTGAGCAGTTCGTCCGGCTATTCACGAACTACCAGCAGGACGACTGGGACGAGCTCCTCCCAGCCGCCGAGTTCGCGTACAATAACCACGTGCACTCCTCCACCCAGCAGGTGCCGTTCATGACCGACACCGGCCGGCTCCCGAGGATGGGCTTCGAACCCTCCGGAGCTCGCTCCGGGATCGAGTCGGTCAACGAGTTCCGCGACCGGATCGCCTTCGGCGTTTCGGAAGCAAAATCGGCGCTGGTAAAAGCCAAGGAGGAGTATAAGCGGTACTACGATCGCCGGCGAACCCCGGCTCCGGACATTAAAGTCGGCGATCGCGTGTGGCTGGACGCCTCGGACATTCAGACGACCCGGCCTTCCGAGAAATTTTCTCACAAGCGCCTCGGTCCCTTCCGCGTGTCCAAGGTGGTCGGTCGTGGTGCGTACAAGCTCGAACTCCCCCCCCGCCTCTCCGGACTGCACCCGGTCTTCCCAGTCGTAAAACTACAGCTCGCCGAGGACGACCCCTTCGGAGGCCGGCCGCGGTACGAGGAACCGCCGCCGATCCTCGGAACTGGTCCCGAAGCTGAATGGGAGGTAGAGGAAATCCTGGACGCCAAATACCGTTGGCGGAGCTTGTGGTATTTCGTCCGGTTCAGGGGGTACAACGCATCACACGACCAATGGGCGAAACACTCCGACGTCTTTGCTCCGGAAGCCGTCGCAGAATTTTACCGGAAGTACCCCGGGAAGCCACGCCACATCGCCGCCGCCACGTTCGACTCCCTGCCCTTCCGCGACGCTAACGCTTCGGCGACCTTCATTCGGTCTATGCGTCGGGACGCCGCATTCCAGAGGGGGGGTGATGTAAGGGGAACCCCCCATTCGCACGCCTCCTCCGGACCGCCGAACCGCCGAGCGCCGAGCGCCGAGACCACCGGCGCCACCCCCGAGTACCCTCCGAATATTAGCAATAATATTCTCGGAGCCAGCCCCGGACACTCGCCGAATATTCCCAATAATATTCGCCGCGCTCCGGACCACCGAACCGCCGAGCGCCGAGCGCCGACCTCCGGAACCGCGGGCCGAGCCGCCGAGGACCTCCGGACCTCAACCCTCGACGCCCCCGGAGCCCACTCGGCGCACCAGCACCTTTCCTCGCGCCCCCGCGCCCATTCCCGGTGGCACCAAGCCTGCGACCAGGCCCGCGACTTATGCCGGCAGCGCCGCGCCCTCGAAACTGCTCCATCGGGACATGCCGAGCCGTGAAACACGTCTGGGACGTCACGGCCCTACTTACCTCCGGACACGTAGCTACGGACCCTTATTTATACGACCACCGGGCGGAGGGGATCCTCAGACTTGACTCTCTTCGGATCCCCCTCCGTCAGGTGCGCTATTTGTATTTAGCTACTGTTTATGTATTGACTTCGGATCCCCCTCCGTCAGGACTCTTGAGTGTTCTCGGGCCGCGGAGTTGCCCTTACAGCAAAGGCCATGTACACAGCCTCAGGCTCGCGGGGCAGCGGCAGACTTGCTAAATGTACCAGCGCTTCGCTGAGGGCGGGAACGGCCATGAGAGGGCCATTTTTCGCCGATTTTCGCTTGTGCTTGCGATTAGCCAACTGCCCTCTAGAGAAAAAAAATGCCTTGTTAATTTGCCAATTGAGCCGACAACAGAAGCGTACGCAGGAGTCTGGCGGTAGGTTTTGCATTTGAGAACATTAGCAGCTCGCTTTTCCTCATCAGTTTTGAATTTTGGGGTGCGGCCCATTTTCCTAGATGACCAAGGGTGAAATCTATGGGAAACCTGAATGGCCATGGGCACGACAAAGGAGCATAATACTTGGCACACCAATTGAACACAGTTGGTACGCACTGAGGCGGGCAAGATTCAGGAGCCTATTGGTGGTCTGGCTGGGCGGTGAGAGGTAGGAGATGGGTGCTGGAGTCAAAACTTCGACCGACCGTGATATTGTAGACACAGGCGCCTGTCTGACGCCCATGATCCGTTATCCATAAAAGGCAAGTCCGAAATAAACGCCCATTAGACGCCGTGCTCCGAAGTGACTTAGGCATTTCTCGACTTGGGATGTAGAAAAAGCTGTCCATTCAAGTCAAGTCCAAGCTACAAATCATCTATAATACTGAACATATTGAGTCCTTTCTGCCACCGTTCCCGTGCCCGCTCCGCTCTCGCTAAACGGCTCTCTGGGGAGGCGGTCGCGTCGAAGTCATTGTTGGTCATGTATTCATTGTCGACCCAGCGGAAGAGGCCGCCGGCGGTGTACTGCACGAACGAGCTCCTCCGCTCCCCACGCTGAATGCCGGTATTCGAATGCCGGAGGAGCGCGCTCGGGATGAAAATCGTGGAACCCGGCGGAAAGCGCACCACCAGTTTCAAGTCCCAAAGGATGAGGTGCCCGCTGCGGTCGGGATTGAAGTTCCCAAGGGCGGTGATTGCGCACCATCCCCACGCCAGGTTCTCGAAATCCAGGTGCAGCGCGCAAACCGCTGCGCAAAAGTTCCAAGTGCAGGCTGCTTCAGGGACTGCTTGCAAAACTCCAGTGCGTTGTCGGCTTCCACGAGCTCAGGGCAGCTCGCGTCGAATGGTAGTAGTTGCAGAGATTCGGGGCCCAGAGAGCGAAGAGTGCTGGGGCTGATAAGCAGGGGGAAATTGGGTAGTGGAGTTAGTTGTCACCTGCTGTAAAGCCTACGATGCGGGTGAAGGCAGAGTGTGCAAGAAGCGCGTCGGTTGGCCGCTCCCACAGCAACCTCATCAGGCTCTAGCCGGCCACCTCCGTGCGACACCCCTCGTGTGACCGCAGTGAATTGGGTCTGAGCGCGGCGGTGCTTCAACTTCGCCTTCGGTAGCCGAATCTTCGGCTGCAGCTCATACATGGCAGCGTCCGCTTCGCCTGCAACGTCCCGGTCCCAGGCATCACCTCGGGGACGCCCCCCCAGAAGCGCAATGACCCGCTTTTGTGCGTCAAGGATGGGGATGGAAAGGCTAAACATCCTGCGTTAGTACGGCGGGCATCAGGGCAGTGGTCACTCACATTCCAAGCCACGCAATGTAGGTGAAGCCCGCAACGCCCACTAGCCGATCCACTTCCGCCTGCGAAAGCCCCGGGCCCAAGCTTGACTCCCCAACGCGCGGCTCAGGCATGTCTCCCAAGGCGGCGTCTTCATGTGACTGGAGACCCGTCCATCCCGTCGAAGTGTGCGCGGCCCTGCTTGTGTCGTAGGCGACCTTTATGGATGCGGACTTGCTATCTTTGAGGCGTTTTTTAGCGACGGCTTTGAGAAGGGGGGCTGCGAGCTGCGTGGGTGGGAAGGCTGGGTTTTCGAGGGTGGCGGGTGCCGCTAGGCGCCGACGTTTCGCGCTGCGGCGGGCTTTATAGCGTGCCTTCTGCTTTTGCGAGCGGGTGGACCCATCGATCTGGTTGGTACTGTCCGGTATGGCAGGGGGCGCCGCTGGCTCAGGTGCGTCGTCATCGTCGTCCACATCCGACGGCGTTAGGTCCGACAGGTCAGACGGGGGGTCCGCTTCCTGTTCCAGGTCGTCAGGAGCATGGGGGGCGTCACGAATCGCATCCAGGTGTGCCTGCGCGTCGAAGTCTGCCAGTTGATAGGCTGAGTACTCCTTGCCGCTGCGAAGGCAGCGTCCAGAAAAGGCAGTACCTGCGCGTTAAGCTTTAGCACGGCGGTGGTGTGGCATAAAGCTGTAAAGTGGGGGCAGGCATGCGGCGTGGCGTGGCAAGGCAGGTAGGTAGCAGAGTGATGAGAAAACCGCGTAAAAAAAACACGGGCGGCGCGGTTCCAGGGGCGGATCCAGTCGCCGGAGAAGGAGGGAAGGAGGGCGAGTTGTGTCGACGCGTCGACGCGTTTGCGGCGCGAAGTGGAGGGAGAAAAAGAGAAGTGGATGAGAGAACATACCAGTTGGGGTAATTTTCTGGTTTTCGGTGGCGAACGTGCGGCAGGCCGAGGTATGGGTCGGGATTTGGAAGATTTTGGGTGTACTTACAATAAACAAAGACGCGAACGGTCACGAGGTGAGGTAAATACCCGGCCAAGCAGCATCGCCACAAAATGCATCGCCACAAACTACGCTCTTGCCACTGTTTGACTTCGGCACTTTAGTGTCCTCGGCCCAGCACCTCAGAGTCTTAGAGTCACTCCGGAGTCGAAATCGGATTTCTGAGCTCGGCGATAAATTTCGTTTCAGTCGTAATGCCTTGATGATCCGAGCGTGGATCTGACAGGACGTGGGAGGTAAGTGCCAACGCCACTGCGTGTCCTCACGTGTCCCGCCACCTATCGCCGCCTTCACGCCCTGCTAAGTACCCGCCGCCTTTGTGCCCTACCTGCCGCCCTCCCGCCCGCCGCCTGCGCGCCGAGCATCAGGGGCGGGATATGCGGCGGGTCAAGGGCGGGGTATGTGGCGGGCGGGCGGCTGCGAGCGGCAGGGCGGGTCAGGGGCGGATCAGGCGTCGGGCGAGCAGGTGAGCGGGCGGCGGGCGGGAGGGCGGTGGGTAGCGGGCAGTGGGCGCGAGGGCGGCGATAGGTAGGCGGGACATGCGGCGGCGACGTTGGCAGTTGCCTCCCACGTCCTGTCAGGAACCGCACTCGGATCATCAAGGCATTACGTCTGAAACAAATCATAACGCCGAGCTCAGAAATCCGATTTCGACTCCGGAGTGACTCTTACAAGTTCACGTCTCTGGCAGCGGTCTGGATCGTTCTGTACTTGCTGGCATGCTTACGGCGCTACTATAACTATTAGTCAAATTGAAGAAGAGCGTCAACTTACTTCGGAGCCTTACACTTCCTTCAACGTCCGTCTAGTGTAACGGTTAACACGTCATTGGTTCTGGGAATGGCGAAGCTGAGGGTTCGAATCCGTCGGCGGGCCAGAAACGGCCATGGGAGGTGCCCGAGTGCGACCCCAGTGCGACGCACTGAGATCGCGCTTGGGCACCTCTCAGGGCCGCTTCTTTTTTTTTTTTTCATTGCCTGCACGACGGAATGTTTTTATTTGCTAAGCCTGTTCATGCCACCTGCCCACCACGGCTTGTACTTCTTCACCACCCACCGGCGTGCTGCCTGCACAACAGGATATTTTTTCTCTGCAAAGCTATACCTCCGCCTGCTCCATCCTGTTCATGCCCCCTGCCCGCACCGCAGTTTCATCATCCACCGGCACGTTGCGCTTACTCGCCGCCCACTAGCACTAGCGTGTTGTTACGAGTCAAGCTCGGGCGAAATTATGTACTTCAATACGTACTAGCGTTTCGACCCGCTGAATCTCGACGCGTCTACGTGCGCAAACATTCAACAAAGCTCTCAAGCTGCGCCTGCTGCACCAGATGTCCGCCTCCAACTCAGCTACAGCCCCACCCGAATCCACTCCCCTGTCCTCAGCGACGGCCATCCCGCCGGCTGACACCTTGACAGCGACTGTTCCGACGCACCGCAGGGTCATCTCTGACGAGCTCAGGGCTGCCATTGGCAACTCTGGCTCTTCAGGCGGCGGGTTGCAACGCACAGGTGGCGGGTCCAAACGCAAGGCTGCCCCTGATGCATTCGCGAAGACCAAGCAGCTGATGAAAGCGGAGCGCATGGTAGAGCAGCAGAAATTCCAGCATGAAGTGCAGGAGTTCCATGCCCGCCGCGACCAGCTCATCGCCGACCTACAAAAGCGCTTCCCTAGCAAGTCGGAGGAGCAAGTCCGCCGTGCCCTGTGCAATACCAGCGGGTTCACCCGCCAGCGAGCGGCGAATCCGTACAACGCGTACATGCGCGAGCTGTCCCTCCGTGAAGGTTTTTATTTCATGTTATCGTTGCAGCCAGGGCCTGATTTGTACACAGGGGGTGGGGTGGATGTCGTGGGGCTCTAGGATATCGACGGGAGCTCGTCAACGTCCTACGCAGACCTGTCCACAGAAGAGAAGGCTCGTCTTAAGAAAGAGCTAGAGGAGCATCGCCAGGAGAAGGCATCAACCCAGTGTGCGTCGATAAAATCTACCGCGGCGTCTACGCGCGAGATCTTGAAGCGCGTGTCAGGCGAGGTAGGCCTTCGGACTCGCCTTAACAGACGTACGGGCGTTCGTACCTGCCTATTCGCCGTACGCGGGAGTCGAGTGGACTCCATGGACCCTGTGTACTACGAGACCGGCGACTGCCGTCTCTTTTGGATGCAGCACTTCAACAAGCCTTGGATGGACATCATCATGGACATGGAAATGTGGTCGTGTACCCCAAAAGGTATGTTCCTACTTACGGATTAACTCAGGCCTACCTACGTTTGCTAGTGGGCCGGCACGCGGACGGGATCGAGCAGCTCCGCAGCGACATTGCGCGAATGGGACTTCACGGCCTTCGTGAGTCGCCCGCAGTCAACGCTAGTCGAGGCTAACCGGTCTTGGCAGGTAACCTAGCAGGGGATCCGGAGCTGTCAAAGGTGCCTTGGTCAACCCTTGAAATTGACGTTGGCGAACGGCTCGGCATCGAGCTCTGTGGGTGGCCTTTGAAGATGACAGCTGGCAAGGTCATGCCCCCGGCCGCCTTGAATTCCGAGACCGCCCGCACCATCCGAGACTTGTGGACACAGGGCGACATTTTCTGGAAGAGAATGTCGAAGTCGAGGCACGACGAGCTCCTGGCCGAGCTTCGACAGCGGCGTGAGGATGGCGGGGGAGGGCCTCTCAAAGAGCGAGCTGCTCGGAGCGACCGCGGCGTCAAGCGGGGACCTCGTTCGAAGCCAGGCGCAGGTGAGGACGGTTTGGATAGTGAGGAAGAGGAAGCTCGGCCCACGCCCCCCAAAAAGAAGAAAACGACGACAAAAGAAAAGCCAGCTGCCAGCAAGCGGAAGAAGGCTTTGGCAAACGGGGTGCGCGGCGCTGCTAGTTCTGCCCCAACGACGTCTTCTGCCCCGACGACATCTTCTGCCCTGACGACGTCTTCTGCCCCGACGACATCCGCCCCAGCTGCGGCGGTTTCCACCCTGGCAGTGACGACGTCTGCTCTGGAAGAAGGCTCGCTTAGTGGTGGCGCGCCAGCCGCCCCTTCCGGACCCCTTGCTCCCGCCAACCTCTTCCCCACTGCCTGCAGTACTGGGGACCTGGGCGAGCTCCCGCAGGCACCTATATATCCCACATATCTAGTCTAGTTAGACTAGTTGCAAAGGCAAGGCAACTAGTCTAAGTAGACTAGATTCTAATATATCCGCGGGTATGCTTAAACATCTACTAAATACCCCATTTGAGTACGAGTGGGACTTAAAGCTGTAGAGGTGTGTGTGGCAGTGCGCGCCACGCGCCCCCCACCCCCGCCCTCGCGCTCATCGTCGTCGGCGACGCCGCCGACATCGGCCGCGACATTGTCGAAAAAAATCCCAAAAAATTGCCAATAATAGTAATAAAAATAGGCATGCCGGGGGCACCTGATGCGCCTACGCACACGCCCCGCCCCGCCCTCGCGCACAACAGGCGGCGGGGATGTCACGTGATGTGACATCTGACAGGTGTTAGCGTTGCGGCGCTGATGCGGAACGTCGGGGCACACCGCCGCCGCCGCCCTCGCCCTCATTGTCATCGACGATGCCGCTGCCCTCTGGACATCTGTGAAGAATTTGACAAAAATAATAATGCCACATTGCACGGCGCACTCGGCGAGCGGGCGTGTCACGTGATGCGCCGCGCCACTCATGCGGAACGTTGGGATGCGCCGTCGCCACTGCTGCCCTCCCGCTTGTTGTCATTGGCAATGCCGCCCTCCCGTTTGTTGTTGTTGGCAATGCCGCCAGCATCCGGATGTCCATGAGCCGAACTGGAGAATTGATCATGTGCCTTCATCACATGACCAATCAACCACTCCGCTCATGGCCAAAAAAGGAAATTTTGTACTTCATGCATGATATAGCTCACAATTCAGTGGTTTACAAGGGTGTAGGATATTAATTGTAATGTTTTAGACCTATTGAAGCTTATAGGAGCATACTGAAGCTCATTCTAGGGCTGTAGTGTGGTCATAATTCCCATATTTCTTCTAAGCAAGATATTAGGAGGTGTGGATGGTGTATCTTGCACCTAAGGACTCTATATCTCTCAATGTACATAATTTCAATAGGAGCTCAATATCAATTTGTTAGGATGTCTGGAGCGAAAATACTAGCCATCATCCTTTATGAAAAAATACAGGATCATGGCCATATACCTCTCTGTGTCCTTCAAGTCTATCTTATAATATTTCTTTGGAGCTGTAAGATGGATATAGGGCATTGTTCAAGACTTATATAACCATGTAGGCAAGTGATTGAATGTACTGATTCCTGGTCCTTGTTTCTGTGCTATTCCATGTGTCTGAGAGTTACAGTCAATGTAATAAAGAACCAAATATGCTGTACAGCTACTATAGAACATGTCCAGACCACTAGATCTGCTGATATGTATCCATATATGCCAAAGTCCAAAATGTCACATTTTGAATATATAATTTATTGGACACTTAGGAGGACATATGGGAGGGTTTGAGGACTGTGGGTACAGTGAGGCAATATGAAAGTCATGTAGATTATTTTATTTGAAGTGTTTGGGTGAAGTAATGGTTTCTGTCATGACCGTACTGTAGTCTATATATGCTTAATATCAGCCTCGCACCTGAATCTTACTGAGAGCAATACCTCACCCAAACACTTCAAATAAAATGGTTTGCATGACTTTCATATTGCCTCGTTGTACCTACAGCCTTTAAACCCTCCCATATGTCCTCCTAAGTGTCCAATAAATTATATATTCAAAATGTGACATTTTGGACTTTGGCATATATGGACACATATCAGCAGATCTAGTGGTCTGGACATGTTCTATAGTAGTTGTACAGCATATTTGGTTCTTTATTACATTGACTGTAACTCTCAGACACATGGAATGGCACAGAAACAAGGACCAGGAATCAGTACATTCAATCACTTGCCTACATGGTTATATAAGTCTTGAACAATGCCCTATATCCATCTTACAGCTCCAAAAAAATATTATAAAATAGACTTGAAGGACACAGAGAGGTATATAGCCATGATCCTGTATTTTTTCATAAAGGATGATGGCTAGTATTTACACTCCAGACATCCCAATCAATTGATATTGAGTACCTATTGAGATCATGTACACTGAGAGTGATAGTAGGAGTCCTCATGTGCAGGACATACCATCCACACCTCCCAATATCTTGCTTAGAAGAAATATATCTTAGTATGGGAATTATGACCACATTACAGCCCTAGAATGAACTTCAGTATGCTCTCATCAGCTTCAATAGGTCTAAAACATTACAATTAACATCCTACACCCTTGTAAACCACTGAATTATGAGCTATATCATGCATGAAGTACAAAATTTCCTTTTTTGGCCATGAGCGGAGTGGTTGATTGGTCATGTGATGAAGGCACATGATCAATCTCCAGTTCATTTCCCGGCTCACGGACATCCGGACGCTGGCGGCATTGCCAACAACGAGCAGGAGGGCAGCATTCCCAATGACAATGAGCGAGAGGGCAGCGGCGGCAACGGCGCGTCCCGACATTCCGCATCAGTGGCGGGCGCATCACGTGACACTCCCGCTCGCCGAGCGCGCCGCGCAATGCGGCATTGTTTTTTTTGTCAAATTCTTCACAGATGTCCAGAGGGCGGCGGCATCGTCGATGACAGTGAGGGCGAGGGCGGCGGCGCCCCCCGACGTTCCGCATCAGAACACTGACACCTGTCAGATGTCACATCACGTGACATCCCGCCGCCGGGGCGGGTGGTGTGCACGAGGGCGGGCGGGGCGTGTGCGTAGGCGCATCAGGTGCCCCCGGCGTGCCTATTTTTATTACTATTATTGGCAAATTTTTGGGATTTTTTCGACAATGT